TGTCTCGTCGTGAAAGCTGCGGACGGCGGGAACATCGAGTGACTCACCTTAACAGTCTTCCCAGGGGATCCCTCTCCGGGGATGTGGGCCCGCCGGGACCACTTCCGGCGCCGAGTCTGCGGGAGGACGCGCGCGCGCTCGATATATATGCGGCCGGCGCGGGCGGCGGGCTGCAAGGCGGACAACAAACGGGGCTGCTACCCCCCGGGGTCGAGAGGGTGTAACTCCTCTCCAGCTCCTGCAACAGACGAGGAAGCAGCGGTTATGCAACGCCGAAACCTCAGAATCTTAGACACGATGTAGACAAATTGCATTCGAGGAGAATCAAGGCAAATGGAAAATGTCTAATCTATAACTTTCGATCTTGTTCTGTAAAATTCTCTTATCTTCTTTTAAAGAGTTTAAAAGTTATTTGAAAAAATTTGTCGTGCAATAAAAATAATTGAAAATAATTAAAAAATATTTATCATATTTCAGAAATTTAAAATTTAATGATTTAGAATATTATGAATTATACAGACTATGACGTAATATATTCTATAATTTTAATTAATATATAAATATATATTAAAATTATGAAATATGTGTATTTATATTTATTTATAAAATTTATATTTCTTACAGTCATATAAAATATTAAAAAAAATAACTAATATAAAATATATAAAATAATATTTGACACATATTACTTAACATATTGTTCAAAAATATTTATTTATTTACAAATTTCTTTCAGATATTTATATTAAAGTTAAAATTTTATATAAACTTTTATATAAACTTAGTTTTATTAATTTAATTTTAATAAAATTTTATAAAAAAATATTATAAAATTGTACTTCTATTGAGTTGATTTGTTTGATGACAGTTGATTTGTATTTTTCATTGCATTTATAAACTTTTATAAGTTTTATTTTATTACGTAATATATATTTTCCTAAATAATTTTATGTATCATATAAATTAGTGTAAATTTAACTCGTTAACTTTTTATTATCAATAGAGTTTCTTCATCTTCATTAGAATGTCGTGCATTTAAGTGCTGCGAATTAAGAATTCAGACTCAATTAGAAATGTGTGAACAAACGGCGCGAATGAATGACAGTGAGCTCTACGACTTTTCCATTGTAAGAATCTTCGCGATAAAGAACGGACGCGAATTTAAGAGACGCTCCGGCGAAGAATCGAATTACGATTTCGAGGAGAATCGATCGCGAGAACGAAACTCCCTGGCTACGAGCGAGCGTTTGATCCTCGCCGTTTTCGGCAGTCTGGTTAAACCTTAGGATTAAGTTTCGGGAAATTTTCAAGCGATTTTGCGAGGTCGAGCTTTATCGCGCGCGTACTTTCACGCTGTTAACGGAACTCAAGGATTAAACTTCGGAACTGAACTCGACTCTCGAGATTTACGAGAAGTCCGGTACCGCCTCGGCGATGCCTCTCTTTTGAATTCAATTAACGCACCAAAGTTAATTTCACTTTTTTTAATATCGTTACTGCTGAAAAGTAATATAGAGACATCGATTTTATTTATTTGATGATAATTGTCAAAAGCAATAAGAAGTTTAAATTTTTCAAGACTCGAGATGTAAAATTTAATTCTCTTAAGCATTTTAGTATTTAATATATTTAGTATTTAGTATAAATAATACATTACGAAAATTAGTTTGTATATTCTCCATAGTTATATATACGTTTCTGTTTGCATATATTTTGTTAATCCTCCTTTGTGCAATACCTTGTATTACGGTATTATGTGTTAGAGATTTCCTTTATCAGCGAGGACACGCGTCATTAAATTGGAATTTTCATAAAATCCAAGGAATAGAATGTAACTTCGATCGCGCGAGTTTATTACCTCCGAAACAGAAGCAACTTTCATTATTAACGTGCAACGTTTAAACTTTCCGACGGCAAATCCGTACGAAATCAAAGCTTCTTCTTTTCCCGTCGAGCTTTTCCGACAATTTCTCGGAATTTGCAGGAGATCGATGCTTGAATGAGGATTGGAAAACTTTTCGAACCGAACTAGTCCCCACGGTCGATCGGACACGATTTAAATTATTGATCGCCTGCAACTAATCAGTATCCAGTTGCCGCTAGTCGGCAGATATTCCCTTAATTGCCTAACTATGTAGACCAATCCGCATGCGCTTCATTTAAACGTAAAAAGAGACACGGAGCTTTGGCGCGATTAAAATCCCAAACAATGACTAATCGAGAAAACGGTACATTTGTTTGCTTCGGTCCACTTAAATCCCTTTCTTTTTGTAAATCTATATTCACAATATCTCTATTCATGCAGAAATAATCTTTTCAGTAAATATATTATGTAACAAACAATTAATTAACAATGTACATTTTAGATGTACATAATTAATTGATTGACTCGTTGCATAATAGATAAAGATATAAAATTATTTATATACGTTACATACATTCAGGAGGAAAGAGATATCAGAATTCTAAATTTTGAGGAACTTTTCACATATATTATTTCACGTATACGGTAATAAAAAAGAAAAAGAAAATTTTATAATAAGAAAGATCAAGACCATTAACTAAGTAAATAGGATATTGATAGGATATTTATAAAAGAGAGTTTGTTTATTAGAGAGGAAAATAAAGATAGTAAAATTACAGATTTCAAAAAACCAAACATTTCGAGCTGCACAGAGCTCTTTTTAGCAGTATTAAAAAATTTACAAATAAAGTGCAATTAAAAATCTGTCATGTACTGTGTACTGTCATGTGTTAATTATATGACAGTGTAATATTCTGACAGAAACTCTCGAATGCTTATGCAAATTATAAAAAGTTAAGCAAAAAACCACATCTAGATTGAAAATTGACACATTAGAGAAATAAATTAAAAATAACTAAATAAAAAATAAAAATGTTACCCATAATTAATGAGAATTTTATTTTAAAAAAATAATTTTTATAATTTTTAATCCTAATAATTCTTTTTCACAGAAGTGTTATGTACAAGAGATGAAATTTTAAAAACAAATAAGAAATCTAGCTTCCAAAACAAAATTTACTTTTTTAAAGAGACATCTGTAATCCTTCAAAATGTTAAAAATATTACTAAATTGTAAGGTATATTTTCTCAAAAAGTATTTTTTCTTGGACGAAGGTTTTTTTCAATATTCCTAGCAAAGAGAGGTGTGAGATAAAAATTTACGCAATTTTAACGAAATCGAATTTTATCTTTGTCGACCGTCAATGCAAATAATTATAACACGTTCATAATGCGGACAGAGATATATTTTATTCGAATTAAGAAACTAGAAGACGAAAAGACAGGACTTAGCGGTGAAGCCTCGGTAATCGTATTATTCTCGGATATTAATTTTGCTCGAAGGCAAGACTGTCTGTAACGACCTTCACCGAGCCGCGATGTTAATTGATGAAATGAAACAACGAACAAAGTAGAAACCTTTCTTTCTTCCATCTCTCTCTTTCTCCTATTGCTCGCGCTATCTTCTCACTCAAGAATCCCATTAAGTTCTTGAAAACGGTAGAACTTTTGCAATCCGATTACGAAGATAATAGTACATCTTTATTAAGGTTCCTTACTACCTTTCTTTATATATTCCGTTCTATCCACTTTATATCCGCTATGTACGTATAAGATCCGTTTTATTGGACACAGATTTATTTGTCGCAGATTCTTAAACCCTTCTTAAATCTACGCTCGTTAAAAATTTTATAATACTTTTATTCCCTTTAATGCTACTTATATCTCGCTCGAAGTGAAATTACATTTGTACATTAATCGAGTACTTTTTTAACGTTCCAGAACATCTCCTCAAATTCACTAAGCGAGAAAGTTCCTTCCTCCTTGCCTTTCATCTGAGAGACTGAATATTCTAATTAAGCGATGAAAAAAGAAAAAGAAACCGTTTTATTTGTGAATTAAAATAAGCCTGATCTACCATTTCTGTTTTCATACTTACATTTACCTTCATCTTATTTATTCAGAATTTCGATATAAAAATTAGTCTATGTTCTTAAGGAACATTTTATATTTGATTAAAAAAAAAATACTAAAATCGCATTTAACTAATGTCAATTTACATTCGCGCTTGATTGACTTTGGAATTCACATTAAATCATCGACGTAGTTATCACTATGCGCACATCATGGAATTTGCAGTCAACACTAACTTTGCTGAAAGCGGAGAGGGTAAGTCTCTCTCCCTTGCCTAGAACACAAGGGGCTGTGCGTCTAAAACGCGGCGCACAATTGTCGAATACCACGAAACTATAATGCCGGAACGGAATGGTAGCGGTCTCCGACGATCGAGTCGCAGAGGGGTAGAAAAGGGCAAGACGGAAAGGAAAGGTGAGAGAGAGAGAGAGAGAGAGAGAGAGAGAGAGAGAGAGGAGGAGGAG